AGTTGTTCAACCATAAAGGTGTTCATCCATAAAGTTGTTCAACCATAAAGTTGTTCATCCATAAAGTTGTTCATCCATAAAGTTGTTCATCCATCAAGTTGTTCAACCATAAAGTTGTTCAACCATCAAGTTGTTCAACCATAAAGTTGTTCAACCATCAAGTTGTTCATCCATCAAGTTGATCAACCATCAAGTTGTTCATCCATAAAGTTGTTCAACCATAAAGGTGTTCATCCATAAAGTTGTTCAACCATAAAGTTGTTCATCCATCAAGTTGTTCATCCATCAAGTTGTTCATCCATAAAGTTGTTCGTCCATCAAGTTGTTCAACCATCAAGTTGTTCAATCATCAAGTTGTTCATCCATCAAGTTGTTCAATCATCAAGTTGTTGAGCCATCAAGTTGTTCAACCATCAAGTTGTTCATCCATAAAGTTATTCATCCATCAAGTTGTTCATCCATAAAGTTGTTCATCCACCAAGTTGTTCAACCATCAAGTTGTTCAACCATCAAGTTGTTCATCCATCAAGGTGTTCATCCATCAAGTTGTTCAACCATCAAGTTGTTCAACCATCAAGTTGTTCAACCATAAAGTTGTTCAGCCGTAAAGTTGTTGAGCCATAAGGTTGTTCATCCATAACGTTGTTCAACCATAAAGTTGTTCAACCATAAAGATGTTCAACCATAAATTTGTTCATCCATAAATTTGTTCATCCATACAGTTGTTCATCCATAAAGTTGTTCAACCATCAAGTTGTTCATCCATAAAGTTGTTCATCCATAAAGTTGTTCATCCATAAAGTTGTTCAACCATCAAGTTGTTCATCCATAAAGTTGTTCAACCATCTAGTTGTTCATCCATAAATTTGTTCAACCATAAAGTTGTTAAACCATAAAGTTTGCCCTTATCTATATCTGTATAGCACCTACATGCGAACATGCGCATAGCAGTTTGTCTTCATTCTTCTCATTTGAACATGAATAATTCAAGAGTGTGATCCATGCACATTCTGGGGTTCATGCCGTGTTGTTTTCATGTCACGGCATTTGCTAAAACACGTGTCCTGAAATAATTTACAGCTGGGATGATGGGTGTACGTAATGGTACAGCTACTCACACCAGGGACATGACCCAATTCCACATGACACTGTGTACTTTCAGCGATGTAGCGGTGGGGTAGCCTAGTGGTTAAAGCGTTCGCTCGTCGCAAAACCCATTTTAACATGGGAGGCAGGTACTATTCAGTTACGTGTTACATGACCACTAGTTATGTGTCTTCATCCATGTTTCGTGTCAAACATACAGGGCCAGTATCTGAATCCACTCTTGCTTCACATGTGAAAAACATGTGATCAGTATCTGAATCCGTTCGTGCTTCACATGTCAACATACAGGACCAGTGTTGGCCTCCACTCGTGCTTCACATGTCAACATATAGGACCAGTGTGGGCCTCCACTCGTGCTTCACATGTCAACATATAGGACCAGTATGTGCCTAAAACTCGTGCTTCACATGTCAACATACAGGACCAGTGTCTGCCTCTACTCGTGCTTCACATGTCAACATAGAGGACCACTCTCTGCCTCCTCTCGTGCTTTACGTGTTAACATACAGGACCAGTGTCTGCCTTCACTCGTGCTTCACATGTCAACATATATGACCAGTATGTGTCTCCTCTCATGCTTCACATGTCAACATACTGGACCAGTGTCTGCCTCTAGTCGTGCTTCACATGTCAACGACCCGTGAAGATCCGGGGTAGAATAGGTCTTCAGCAACCCATGCTTCCCACAAAAAGGCAACTATGCTTGTCGTAAGAGAAGACTAACGGGAGCAATAGTTCTGCCACATGGCTTCTAACTTTTACAATGACAATAGGCACTCGAAACAATGCAAACGAACCAAATGTGTTGTCAGCATCTGGTGGTAGCACCTTATGAGGGTGTGACACATCCATCTTGGAAAGCCGGATGAAACGAATACATGTATGCCTGGAGGAACTGTTTATTTCGGTGGTTTTTAGTTGATAATCTAGATGCCATCGCGCAGTACTCAAGTTGCCTTGGAATCTCTTTTGGAGCTCTTGGTATTCCCGATGCAACCTAGCCTGTCATACAGATCCTGAAACAAATAATGTTCCTGGAGGAACTGTTCATTTATTTATTTTCTATTTTTTTAGTAAAATATATAATTTCAGAGAAGTGATGTGAGTCTAGATGTTCCCTTGCAGTACCCCGGTTGCCATAGATGGTTTTATCCATAAAGGGGATGGCAATATTTCAGTGTTGAAATTTCTGTTCCTCTTTCATGCAAAATATATAGCTCGCAGGGTCTTAAATTCTATGTGAAAATTCCATTTTATTTGCCTGTACTATCCGGGTACAGTGATATGACCCACGACGTTCTAATTTGATGCCAAGACAAATTTTGTTGGATGCCATGCTGGATGCCACGTGGGCAGGGGTTAGCACCCTCCTCTGATCATCCTAGGTCACGCTACAGAGGCAGGTATAGTACTTTGTTAAATATCAAAATAGTGAATTGCATACACCTACTTACTTATTTCACATGGCCTCATGTCTCACAAAAATTACCGCCACATTTAAATGCTGTTAAATCTAAATTATCTGTATTAGAAGGTGATTTAAAACACTGTTCACACAATATATATACGATATATACATACATGCATAAATTTAACAATGTAACGATCGGTACTAAGGTGGTTAAAGTGTTCGCTCGTCACACCCATTTTCTATTTCCCACATGGATACAATGTGGGAAGCCGTGATGTTCCTAAAAGCGGCGTAAAACAATACTCAACCACACACTTAGGGGAGGCGTCGGAGATATAAGACGATAGAACCGTCGTTTTACTAAAGTAATTTATGTTCTCGGGCTACCTTGGATACATATACAGGGAAGTGGGGTGCACATAAATTATGAAGTCCAAAGGTCTGGGGGGAAGTGCTACTCAGGGAAATTTCTCTCTGGATCCGCCCCTGCTTATAAAAAGTTAGCACTAAGCTAGTGTACACGTGGAACGACAGGGTACATATGGTACCCATGAAAACAGTAGTTACTAGAGTCATACTATAACGGGTTCGGGTGGTCAGGCTCGCTGACTGGGTTGACACTGTTCGTATCCCAATTGCGTAGATCGATGTTCATGCTTTAGATCCCTGGATTGTCTGGTCCAGACTCGATTATTTACAGACCGCAGCCATATAGCTGGCATATTTGTGAGTGCGACGTAAAACTAAACTCACTCACTACTAGAGTCTTGATGGAGGGTGGGGGTTGTGCCATTATGCCTCTCCGACGTTGGTGTTTACTAGAAATCGTCACTGTGTAAGGGAGAAAACCCATATCCGTTGCTTTAGAGTTAACTGCCCTTGCCTCTAGTTCGCGCTGCACATGCAGCGTTTTCATGGCTGGCTTTATGTACAAATACTAAAAAAAATGTTTTTGCCGCTACATATCTGGAGAGTGCCCGTCATGGTTTGTGTACATTTTATCATCGGTCAAAAATATTACCACCTTGCGTAGCTCAAAATCGATAGTCTACACGAGGTCAACTAAAAGATCTTAATTAAATATCTGTTATAATTAACGATAACGTTAGCTAGGGTTACATGCAAGTATTGAATGTTCCCAAGCCGAGGTAGGTTACCATGTATGTCATCCGGTGAATCTAGATTTGCATTCTATAATATTCCCATGAATATCCGGTCTTTAGCACCTATGATGGTCGTACGAGGCGATGCTTTGACAACGCCCGCTGACTCACTTGACACATGCCATCGTATCCTAACTGCGTAGATCGATGCTCACGCTGTTGATTACTGGATTGTCTGGTCCAGACTCGATTTATTTAGATACCGTCACCACACTGTACAGCTGGTTGCAGAGTGCGGCGTTAAGCAACAAACAAATATAATAACCCTAACCCTGATCGTAAGACTTTTTATTTTATATAAACACATTTATACACACGAAGTCGCAACAGACAGACAAACATACCGGGGGCGGATACAGCTTTTTGAGAAGGGGGTGGGGTGGGGTGCACAGTTTATTTTCACCGGTTTTCACGAGAGTTTCAATGCTCACTTAATAAACTTCCAAGACAAAAGGCCCCCCACTGGATCCGCCCACACACACACACACACACACACACACACATATATATATATATACATATCCCAACACGAGCTGAATTCGACGTTTTGGTGATTTCGACGATTGCATTGCTCGCGCTATATCGGGGGAGTACGTGTGAGATCGGAGTGCACAAACAGTTTCACTGGTAGGGCGGATGCCCCGTCGCTGTCGTGAGAAGTTTTATTGACAATGGAAATCCGGAAGTAAAGTTACATTAAAAGCAAACAAACATCAATATTATTTACCCGAGATCGTTAATACCACTTCAGATGCAAAATCAGTTGCCTTTATAACAAAAAATAGCAAGCGAAAATTTGTAAGATCGGTCGTCTGCTGGCAATATATAAATAGGAAGCCACGTGATTACAACACTCAAAAAGTATGGCTCATCGTCGAAAACCCATCCAAAATACCCGGATGTTACGAGCGGCTACTGTTTCGCCGATACGATGTCATCAACGCTATTTTTGTAGGAAACACCTGATATTTTTGTGTGAAATAGATGAATATATCCTTTATTACTCGAGGTTAGTAAAATAAAAAACTTTAAATGATATTACAGATAAAAATTACGTTTTTGTCTTACATCGTCGAAAACCCCAGACACCGGGATACATACATACATACATACATACATACATGGAAGCACAACCAGTTTTTTTACATTTCATTCACATAATTAGATCCACATTTTTGCATTCTTAAGAGCATTCTTTAAATTAAGTTAGTTTTTTTCCCCAGTAACTATATTGTATGTTTAAAACCTATAAGTCTTGTCAAGCGGCAGTTCCCAATGCTCCCCGGAAGTGATTAATTCAACAATGACTGGTCCCTCAAAATGGCGACTTACAGACTGGATTTTGGGCTGTAATCAACATGCAGATAACATCTCTCTCCTTTCTGAATACTCTACACCTATTTTAGCGCAAGATGGCATCAAATAACAACACACATTTTCAAAGGCCAGCAGTAGTGCAGCGAGGCCCAAGGGTAAATATGTATTAATGTTTCGTTGTGGTAGATTCTGCTTCTAAAAATAACATTCTCGTCTTTTGCGGTCTTTATCTTTGGCGAGAAACCTTATACAGTTGATAGTGTCCGGATGCATGTGTCTCTTGCTTAACTGATCTGCAGTGCCTGATTTTGCTAAAAATAAACTAACTTATGCTGAAGGGGTCGTTGTCGGCACAGGTACCACAGTTATGTACCCCAGGTACGTTTCTGTATACAGACATGTACCCTAAACAAAGACAAACTACAGAAACGTACTCGGTACCCTAAACGACGGACGAATCCATATTCCGCAACCAAAAACCGAAACCGTATGTAGATCTTATTGTTCCCGTTCAACTGATTGCGAGTGGTGTACGTTGTGCACCGTGAAATATTCATTACTGTGTATGCTCTTATATAACGCAATCAAATGCATCTAATACAGCAGTATGACAGTTCCAATCAAGAAAACTCCACAATGCAGAATGGAATCAGCCAAGGGTACGTTTCTGTATTCTGAGTTTGGCGAGGGTACATTTCTGTATACAGAAACGTACCTGGGGTACACATCTATAGTACCCCCCCGTGCCGACAACGACCCCTTCAGCCTAACTTATTACACCAGTTGTGTCAGGATTAGCGTATTTTTCCCCATACTTCTAGTCCAGCATATAACTAGACGACTCTGCACCATACCAAGTCTAATATGGTTTTACTGACATGATATTCCCGTCCCCAAGTCCTATGTAGTCTGTTTCTTACTCTTTTAAAGGCACTCTGGGCAATCTTCATGACAGCACTTATTAACATCACTAATTAACAGAGTCAGTAATCCGTCGAAGCAAGTTTGAGCCCCAGCAGCATTATTTCATCTGAAAAAGTGCACCCAGTAAAGTGTAGTATTCCCCAGTCTGTAAATAGTCGTGTCGGACATTATAAGCATTGATCAGCATGTAAATGTGATCCCAGAACAGGTGTCAACCAACTCAGCAACTATCCTAAATTACTAAAGATATGTTCTAAAACAGATCTTCACAGGTGCATATAAGTTCAACCCGACCCTGTTGTGGGTCTCAAAGGTTGTTCCTCAAAATGTCCAGTTTTGGATGACCATGTCAACAACAATTCAGAGACAATGAAACAATCTGATCATGCACACATAGACATTAACTGAAGTGTTATCATAACTTGCACACATAGACATTAACTGAAGTATTATCATAACTTGCACACATAGACATTAACTGAAGTATTATCATAACTTGCACACATAGACATTAACTGAAGTATTATCATAACTTGCACACATAGACATTAACTGAAGTATTATCATAACTTGCACACATAGACATTAACTGAAGTATTATCATAACTTGCACACATAGACATTAACTGAAGTGTTATCATAACTTGCACACATAGACATTAACTGAAGTGTTATCATAACTTGCGGACATAGACATTAACTGAAGTATTATCATAACTTGCACACATAGACATTAACTGAAGTATTATCATTAATACAGTTCAAGGGATCTAACAAATGTTTAACTTTAATTATTTCAATAATGACTGTCCCAAACCTGAGACCTTTTATCTACTTATAATATGATTTTAATTTTTACACTATAATAATCACAATATTTTTTTATTTGCAACAATGTCATGTCAGTGCTCAATGTCAAGAAAAGTGTATAATAGGAATGCATCAGGCAAGCTTTTCCTGCATGTTCAAAATTTTCATTTAAAATAGAAAAATGTATTTTTCATATGTGAGGTACAAATATTTTTTTATTAAGCAGGGGCACCATAAGCCTGTAGGACAGAAAACCATGATGCTTTGTTTGTACATCCTCGATAATCTCCAGGGTATGCGTTACGATCACTCTCCACTATACTCTGGATGCATTCACGGCTTGGCCCGATGATTTTATTTCCTCCCTTGGCTGGCTCCGCATTCTCACAGTAGCCAATCAGCTAAGCCACCGTTACATCCGACCTTGCCAGTGTCAACAAAGATAGCGGTTGCAGTCGTGAAGGTTTGTTCGCAGTACCACTCAGATTTTTGGAGAAATAATACAGACAAATTGACAGATCTGAAACTTTAAAAAAATATATAAAAGAACTCCTTCCACATGTTTCAGAGTACCCTCTGCATCAATGGTGTTGCCAAGTTTAAACGGTTAGATAATTTATGAAGCGAAAGTGAGTTGTGATTGGTTCGCTCAACTTCCCAGCGTCGACACCTGATTGGATACAAAGCCAGCCGAGGGAGGTAATTAAACCTTCGGGTCAAGCCATTAGAGCATCCAGGGTGTAGTGGACAGTGATCGTAACGTATACCCTGGAGATTATCGAGGATGTGTTTGTATTGTTCTACCGTTTCTGATGAACAATGTAACACCTGACAGACTGCTTTGGAATGTAATTTTCAGCAAATGTTTTTTGTTTTATTTTGCAGCCGCCAGGAATGATGCCTTTTTCCCCACCCCCTGGTATGCCTAACCAAGTGATGGCTGGCCGACCGCTCCACCCACCCCAGTTTCAGCAGGCCCAGGCTGCTGCTCAATTACGACCCTTCCCAAACCATCCTTTCATGTCGCAAAGACAGCTTGGCCATCAGATGCTTGGTCAAGGAGCCCAGAATCCAGTCAGTATAGGCTTTCCTGTTGTGCCCCAAATGGGGATAATGCCACCCCGTGCTCCGTTTATCAACCCAAACATGATCCCCTGGGGGTCAGGCTCCCTATCTCAGTCAATCAGGGTCCCTGGACCTTTTCCCAATGTTCCCCCATCAGTACCCAACATGAACCATGGACAGGGTTCAGTTCCTCGTCAGATGCCACCCCAAACTGTAGGATCTCAGATGCAAGGTCAGAGTGCTAACCAAGGCATGACCCAGGCTCTGAACCAACTTGTTAAAAATGCAGGAAACAACCAGCGATGGAGTCGTAGCAAAAATGAACGAAGGGCTGATAGTAGCAGCACTGCCATATCTTCCTCGGATAACGATGGCAATTCATGCACCAGCAGTCATGTGTCCGAGTCAGATAGAGACAGGTCCAAGCCCTCCCGCCACAGGGACCGAGATCATGACCGACATAGACGGAACAGGGGAGATAACTCTAGTCGGAGCCGTGACATGGAGAGGGGCAGATTTACCCATTTGAGGTCATCAAGCAGAGAGAGCACTCACAGCCGAGACAGTAATCATGGCAGAGAGAGCAGAAAGAATAGAGAGAGCAGAGAGAGTAGCCACAGCAGAGACGCCGGGGATAGGAGGAGAAATGAGAGTTCAGACAGGTCAGTCATCATTAGTTTTGGCAATTGGTTAAAATCTCATAATTGATAATTGGTTCATTACAACCGATCCAAAAAAATTGGTTAGAGTCATTAATGAAGTTGTTAATGCACATAAAAATAAGGAAAAACTATGTAGTTCTTTTGGATATTTTTGGCAAAATGTCACATCTTTAAAGGATGACTAGTATGTTAGGAACATAAATTTCTTGGAGTCTTTAAGATAAATTCAATCATGACTTGAACCGAGCTTGTAGTGCTTATGAAATGTAACTGACAAAACCAACCTTGTGAAAATCATTGTTAATGAAAACAAGTGTTCCAGAATTGTTTGTGTTCGATTATGACAAAACATGATCGATTGCTTGGTCGTTTAGTCACTGCGACCAATCTTCGATCATTTCAATTAATCGGACCACCACTAGTCATCATAAGCATTGACATCATTGTATTGTTTGTTGGATCCATGGGGTAGCCTAGTGGTTAAAGCGTCATCACGCTAAAGATGCTGGTTCAATTGCCCACATGGGTACATTGTATGAACCTATTTTTGGTAGGTACCCTCACTGTGATAACACTGATATTGCTGGAATATTGCTAAAAGAGTTGAAAAATCATTCTCACTCACTGTTTGTTTGCTCAATTCCACAAACATATTCTTGAAAAATCTAAATAAGATCAGTGGTGATGTTATAGTGAGATTTACTGTGTAAATAGAAGATGACATGATGTTATAGTGAGATTTACTGTGTAAATAGAAGATGACATGATGTTATAGTGAGATTTACTGTGTAAATAGAAGATGACATGATGTTATAGTGAGATTTACTGTGTAAATAGAAGATGACATGATGTTATAGTGAGATTTACTTTGTAAATAGAAGATGACATGATGTTATAGTGAGATTTACTTTGTAAATAGAAGATGACATGATGTTATAGTGAGATTTACTGTGTTGAATAGGAAGTGGCGTAATGTTTTACTGTATTGAATAGAAAGTGACATGATGGTACATTGAGTTATACTGTGTTATACTATGTTGAATAGGAGGTGACGTGATGTTATATAGATAATTTTTCAAATTGGACAGGAGGCGACGTGATGATGGTACAAGTCCTGCATCTGACAGCAGCCGCTCGGGGAGGTCCCAGTCCTACAAGCGACCCCGGTGGCAGGATGATCGAGAGAGAGAACGTGACAGGAGGTTAATAGGAACCCTTGATTTAATGTAGTAAAAACCTGTGAAGATCCAGGTAACCCATGCTTGTCGTAGAGAGGTGACTAATGGGATCGGGTGGTCAGGCTCGCTGACTTGGTTGACATATGTCATCGGTTCCCAATGACATAGATCCATGCTCATGCTATTGATCACTGGATTGTCTGACCCAAACTTGACTATTGTTGTGCATGGCATAAAACTAAACTCACTCACTCATTAATGTAGAAAAAAATGAATATTTGTGAAAGCCTTTCTTTCTGACCTTTAACATATTTTCAGATGTAACCCTGATTAAACAACTTTTGAGCAAGAGTCCTATGGTGCTCTTTGAAATCTTTATATAAAGGCATGATTGCTGACCTCAAAAGCTGTGAACTATACACATAAACAACTGGAAATATATCATTATTGTTCGACCGGGAAAGTTGAAGTTTGGAATCATTGACTGTGTAAAGAAGTGTTGTGAATAATTTGTCAGTTGATCAATCTCGCTTACATGAGTGATTATCAATGAGCGACTAATTGATATTAATATAACATGAAACATCAAATTAAACTTTAGAAGTGTGTTTATTAAGGCTGTAACGATTCACTCGCATAATTTGGTGAATCGAACCGTAGCCCTTCATGAATTCAATTCGTTATTTGTGGTCACCAGAACCGAATATTAATGAATATTTACTTGAACCCTTGTGTACTTTTGGAAAGTGAGATATGCAAGGATTGAATATGTACTAGCCTTGCAGTAGCTCAAGTCATGTTAGTTTGCCAAGACTGCACATGGTACTGTCGATTATAACTATTAAATACCAAATTTGAGTGTTATGAGATCACTGGTTATTGCTGTGACAAATCAGTACTGTCAACATGGGCGTTCCATATTGTACATCAATCACTTAAGTACAATACTGTATTCGTGAATAATTATTCGTATTCGTTACCCAATATTCATGATATGTATCATGTTCGCCACATAGTGTATTCGTTGTGAGCCCTAGTGTTTATTATATATTAAGACATAAACAACTGATAAAATTTCCTGAGTAATAAAAATCCAATGTATACAACATGCTCGCTAGTATGTCTCAACAGGAAACATCTTTGTTTGTGTTGATCGTGATATTAATCAATGCCTATTTCGTTTGCACAATTTTATGATTGTGTCCCAATATTGCCCGCATGAGGGTTTGTGGTGGGGTTACGATTACAATTAATTACTGATCAATTACTGAGCTCTAATTATACAATCAGGATATTGTGAGCAAGAGCCAGTACTAGTGTAAAGAATATATATTGGAATGAAAGTATGTCTTTAGTTTGTTTAAGTAAAACAAGTAGGATGGTGAAGCAGTGTTTGTCTTGGTCTGCATTCTTGGCAGTTGGATCCCATTAGTTCTATCGAGCTAACAAATGTGAGTTCTCTTTGGTGGTGAGGATGTTTACCGCAGAATGCTTTAGATGATGCTGCTGTGTGGTGTACCAGTGGCTGATGGGATGGTGTAAATCCAACTAGGGTCCATGCAGGTAGCAAAGGTACTGTAAGTCCCCATGGTGATCTACCTTCAGTTGCTGGTGATCGATAGCCCATTTTTTTATTGTGTTGTCAATTAACAGTTTACTATTTTATATGCTCCCAAACTAGTTTTAAATAAAATATGATGTAGTAGTTGTACTGTTCTTTGACGACAGGATTTTATACCGTTTAGGTATATTTCATACATTTGTTATTGATGTATAAGGTTCTCTCATCACGATATGGCAGAAATATTGCCAAGGTGATGATAAATTTTAACTCACTCACTCACACTTTCTGGCATACAGCTGTTGAACATGATGATAATTGATATGGTAATTACACTGTGTTTGGTCATGCACCAGTGATTGGTCTTTAAGTGGTTGTACAGTATGATGAACATGATGATAATTGATATGGTAATTACACTGTGTTTGGTCATGAACCAGTGATTGGTCTTTAAGTGGTTGTTCAGTTATGATGAACATGATGATAATTGATATGGTAATTATACTGTGTTTGGTCATGAACCAGTGATTGGCCTTTAAGTGGTTGTTCAGTTTGATGAACATGATGATAATTGATATGGTAATTATACTGTGTTTGGTCATGAACCAGTGATTGGCCTTTAAGTGGTTGTTCAGTTTGATGAACATGATGATAATTGATATGGTAATACACTGTGTTTGGTCATGAACCAGTGATTGGCCTTTAAGTGGTTGTTCAGTTTGATGAACATGATGATAATTGATATGGTAATACACTGTGTTTGGTCATGAACCAGTGATTGGCCTTTAAGTGGTTCAGTATGATGAACATGATGATAATTGATATGGTAATTATACTGTGTTTGGTCATGAACCAGTGATTGGCCTTTAAGTGGTTGTTCAGTTTGATGAACATGATGATAATTGATATGGTAATACACTGTGTTTGGTCATGAACCAGTGATTGGTCTTTAAGTGGTTGTTCAGTTTGATGAACATGATGATAATTGATATGGTAATTACACTGTGTTTGGTCATGAACCAGTGATTCTTTGTCTTTAAGTGGTTGTTCAGTATGATGAACATGATGATAATTGATATGGTAATTACACTGTGTTTGGTCATGAACCAGTGATTGGCCTTTAAGTGGTTGTTCAGTATGATGAACATGATGATAATTGATATGGTAATTACACTGTGTTTGGTCATGAACCAGTGATTGGTCTTTAAGTGGTTGTTCAGTTTGATGAACATGATGATAATTGATATGGTAATACACTGTGTTTGGTCATGAACCAGTGATTGGTTTAAGTGCTTGGTCAGTATCATGAACATGATGCAGCACTTTTTGTGAAGTACCAGTACAGGGCTTCAGATAACTTTTTGGGGTAATAGTGTACTTACACATCATATTGCATGTTGAGGTGTACTGAGAATTTTGAAGGAGTACTGACATGTTTTTGTGTGAGCGAGTTGATGTGGTTTGTCTGGATGATTCATCGATCACTATTTCCAACCATGTATTTGTATTTGAAGACGCGTGAGAAATAACTGAGCGACTGTGTGATGCGCGAAATGTCAGGTCCGACTGGATATAAATAGGAACAGTGTAGTTTTTAGCCAATCGAAAAATAGTGACGCATATCGTTGCATGGCAACGCAAGGGATCTCTACTGTCGGGGTTTCCTTATGTGTCAAATCGTGTTTCGCAAAAGAAACTTAACAACAAGTATTTATCCGAAATAGATTGGCACGATACGCACGGAAATTAAATGCTAGACGTACGAAGGTATTTATGTGCGTACACGATATGCTTGAAATCTTATATTATGTCGTACTTAATTGATTTTGAGGCGTACATTATGCCTGTACGCCCCTTATCTGTAGCCCTGCCAGTAATTGTTCATCAACATAATCAAGCAATCGCAAAACATACTGGCCGATCCCAACAGAAATCTTACTTGCCATGGAATAGCAGTCAGTCATCTATTGCGGACTCTGGTCCATGTACATTAAGGAAAGACAGAGACTGATCCAACCTGTTACAGCAGGGACCACAAGAGGTCAAGGCATGACGGAGGTGAACGCTCCGGGCGAAGGAGGGACCACCGACCTCCACCCGATGATGATGAGGAGGAGGATCTTGCCCTCCCATGTACAAGCAGCAGCCGGGATGAGGTCCCAGACAGGCCTGACCCCGGGGTTCGGGAGGATGACACTCCGGCCTGGGTCAGATGTTCCCCTGCAGATCTCTACTTCACGCGGGAAACGAAGGTAATGATTAGGTTCCTTCCCTAAATCTTCCCTAAACACTTTATCTAGGTTCCCAGTTCACTGAGGTTAGACTCTCACTCACTCACCACCCTCTGACTGTCACTCACTCACTCACTCACTCACTCACCCAACCACTCACCCACCCTCGCAACCACTCACTCACTCAATCACTCACTCACCAAACCACTCACTCAGCCACCCACCCACCAAACCACTCACTCACCCACCCACAAACGCGTCAAGTTACTCACTCACTCACACCAATGTTGATGTTTTAAATATTACAATAATCAAAATGCCTTATATAGTCAGTTGGTGCAGTTTTATTGTTGGAATTAGGAAGGAAAGCCAAGGGAGTCTTGTCATGACCATGTTAATGGTAAAAACATCAGGTTCCTAGATTCCTACTCTAAATGAGCCTACCTTGAGGACCAATATTCCTGAACTTTGGTTACCTGTTACCATGGTTACAGTCTGGGTGCCTTGTGGCCACGAAGAAGATGATTGACTTGGAAGACAAGTTTGAGAAGGAGCTGCTTACCAGGGCCAGAGAGGTTATCGCAGCACGACCTGTGGTGGAAGAGCCTCCTCGTCCAGAGCCCAGACTCACCCATCACCATCACCATCATCATCATCATCATGGGCACTCCGATTCTGGTAAGTAAGAGGGTTCAGGAAATGTTGTGGTACAAGGTCTTAAAAACATTCAAGTGATGCTTCCCTGTGTGTGTAGCACATCACAATGGGTCCTGATAAAGCTAATGGTAGTATTCCTCTATCCTTGAAGCACATCAATATGGGTCCTGATATTGCTGATGGTAGTATTCCTCTATGCTTGAAGCACATCCATATGGGTCCTGATAAAGCTGATGGTAGTATTCCTCTATGCTTGAAGCACATCGATATGGGTCCTGATATTGCTGATGGTAGTATTCCTCTATGCTTGAAGCACATCGATATGGGTCCTGATATTGCTGATGGTAGTATTCCTCTATGCTTGAAGCACATCGCTATGGGTCCTGATATTGCTGATGGTAGTATTCCTCTATGCTTGAAGCACATCTGATAAAGCTATCGCTATGGGTCCTGATATTGGATGGTAGTATTCCTCTATGCTTGAAGCACATCAATATGGTCCCTGATATTGCTGATTGTAGTATTATGGGCCTCTATGCTTGAAGCACATCACATATGGGTCCTGATATTGCCTGATATTGCTGATGGTAGTATTCCTCTATGCTTGAAGCACATCGCTATGGGTCCTGATATTGCTGATGGTAGTATTCCTCTATGCTTGAAGCACATCGCTATGGGCCCTGATATTGCTGATGGTAGTATTCCTCTATGCTTGAAGCACATCGCTATGGGCCCTGATATTGCTGATGGTAGTATTCCTCTATGCTTGAAGCACATCGATATGAAGTCCCTGATATTGCTTATGGGCCCTGATAAAGCTGATTGTAGTATTCCCTCTATGCTTGAAGCACATCACTATGGGCCCTGATAAAGCTGATTGTAGTATTCCTCTATGCTTGAAGCACATCAATATGGGCCCTGATAAAGCTGATGGTAGTATTCCTCTGTGTTGTAGACTCAGAGAGCAGCAGTAGCAGCAGTGGTAGCAGCTGTGGATCTGGTTTGGAGTCGGATGATTCTGATGATGACACCACTCTGTGGCTGGAGGAACTGAACAGGAAGAAGAAGCATCCCCATCGACTCCACGAGGAGCTGTGGTTTAACGACACTGGAGAGGTAGGTTGCCAGTCTTGACACTTAAAAGGTAGGTTGTCACAGTGCACACCGACATTAGAGAGGTAGGTTGTCATTAGTCACAAAGGAACTGGAGAGGTAACTAAACAAACAACAACCTTTTTAAATTTGTTCAACATTGTAATAGGTTTTGTTTGAGTGAATGATTCAGATTCTACATCACCTTTAGCAATATTCAAGCAATTTTTTGACAACCAACACCAGAAATGGGCTTCATACATTGTACCCAAGTTAAGAATGTAACACATCAACCCATACTTCCCCAACCCAAATGTCTTTGATGTTATACACTTCTAGGACTTCAGTCCTGCCCAACAACAAAGCACATGTGATACATGTGGTCTCACCTGAGGCAAGCGAGTTTCATCAAAATTGCCTCTGTTCACCTAGCAGAAAATGGGTACCCGGTGGGATAAGTCATGTGATATATACAACCTTCTAGTGCCTCACAGGCAGCTTGGGTTATATGGGGTATTGATTGTCTGTGCTATGAGCATGTTGTCTGTGTGGATTTAGGACAATTTAAATGGACTAATTATTATTAATTTGTAAACTTATCCTATCTCACGATTTGCACTTCTCTCTCTTGCTTCGACGCTGAGTGGAACGAATGAGAACTTTTCCTGTAGGCCTCTCTTGTCCATACGCCCGTGTTCCCCAGGCTGCTCTCTTTATAGGACAGGTCCCTAGTCCCTGGCTAAGCGTGCAGCACGTTCCCCTGTCTACCCACGTGACTACCTCAGAGTGATCATTCTTCTTCTTGTCGCACCACTGTGTGGACGTATAGTGTGCGAGTTCTCAGTTTTCCTTAAAAGTTAACATGAGAAATATATCATGGGTAGTTAACCCAAAGTAGCATAATTTTGCGCACACTGTAACACTATTTTCTTCCTCGGATCCCCACTCGTCATGTGTGGGTTGTATTGACCTGTGTTCCTGAAGCAAGCGTAGTCGGGAATGTGCTCCCTTATCAAGGACATTTTAGAGCATTTTGACATGCTTGCTCCCGTTGGCTGGCAGACAGAGCTTGTTACACTTCAACAGTTGATCACCCGACAAAAGGCCCGCTTCAACGACCAGTATTAACTGCTCGTCATTTGGAGATTCCCATGTCGGAAGGTGATGATTTTATTGGCGCATCATCAGATGTCTACTCGTCGTTCCGCCTCATCGAACCGCTCTGTGTTCCCAGCCGACTCACACAGCCGATCTACATCGTCAAATCGCCAAACCGATTCACCACACTGAATCGGTTCACCACACCGAATGGATTCACCAGGCCGAACCGTTTCGCCAAGGCGTATTGGATCACGACATCGACTCAATTCGCCATATATAAGACTGTTTCTTATCTCCGAAACGGTTCACATCATCGGTTCGATTCATCGCACCGAAATGGTTCGCCTCGCCATAACGGCTTTCTTCACCGAAACGATTCACCTCGTTGAACCAATTCACCTCGGCCGGAACATTTCACCTCACTGGTTCATCTGATCTTTCTAGATCTCTCCATCAGCTGAGATCATTTAAACGTTTTAGATACCAAACTGATCCAGATCACAGTCACGATCCAGATCACAACGCCAATCCAGATCACAGCAACGTTCCGGTTCACCATTCTAAACTAAACTGAACCAATTTACTAGCCCAACTCGTCCCGTTTCACCAGGCCGAACCGCTTCATATCGCCGAACCAGTTCACCTGGCCATTCAAGATCACTGAATCGTCAGCATTCATCGAACTGTCAGCATTCGTCAATAATCCGTTCCTCGGACCTTGCCTACCAATTGAGTTGATTCACCAAATTCGGCGATTCACCACTCGTGTTATTTCCAACACGGCGCATCTTACCAGCCTACTGGTTCGTCAGAGCCTATGCAAATTGTGTCTGGGATGCCTCCCAAGCCACTTAACCCAAATCGAACTTCGTCTTTGTTTTCATGGTTCGAGCCTCGCCAGTCGCTTTTAAGATGCAGGAATTGTTTTGGTTGATTTGACACACATACTCGCTTGGTTCGCCAACCACCTACGGCTACCTAGAGGAAAATACCAGATGTTTTACTAGTATTTATTACATTCAACATGAAGGATCGGGACTTATCAACACTGGTTTTTAACATCCTCAACGAGGATCGTGAACTTGCATCTAGATACGGCCAAATTTGTCGAACTCTGCTAGTTTTCAACACGATCCTAGTTTTCAGGGCATCTGTGAGGCGCTGAATTCCTCACCACGGAGTGGCAAGCTCTAAGCACGACAAACTGATTTGTTTATCTGGTTTACCTTCACGGCTTGTGAGGCGTTTAAAGTTTTTAGTCACATAACTTATCCCACCTGGTACCCTTTTTCTGCTTGTTGAACAGAGGTAGTAGCTATGTGCTTCACCATGCCGAATCGATTCACATTTGATGTCAGTAGCGCAGTCATCTAGACATATTACGCTCGGCACTCGACGGTCTGACGGTCCCAGTTTTCAAGATTGCTCTGTGACCCGGACTGATCTCATTCCAGATTTAATCTACCATCCGATCTTCACCTTTGATGAACGATTCAGTTTAAAGAATCTATCTTCGGCGTAGAATTCAGCACTACGACCACCCGATAGGGCATTACTAGATAAGCTTGCTAGCCAGGAATACTTACGACGCTTCACTGAGTCTTGTTACTACAGACTACTCATAACAGCGTTTCTGTGTATCGCTGGGTGCAATCATTGCAGATGGTTCGTCATCTTCAGCACCTTGCGTTTTACATCATCAGCAAGTTTCTGGACAGATGTCAGATGGGTCAAGTTTTTGTGCATGGTACCAGCATCGATGTCTTGTCAAGTAGTCAGCATAGCGCAGCCCAGAATTTATGGGTTGTGACTCGCCCGGTTAACCGAAGACTGTGTTGTCTGGATTTTTGTCGCATCGTGGGTAACGTTTGCAAATGGTGGACTACTGTTTGTTTACCGAAATTTTGATGTTTAGAGTGACGTTGAATTGCCCTGGCAGACTTGTCTTAGTCCCACGAGTCGGATATCAGGTCCAGCTTCCAAAGGCTAGTAACAATGAACGGTGCCATTCCCGGTAAGAATGATTGTGTCGGGATTTCGTCAGCCAGTCGAGAGAGACTGCTTATCGAGGGTGACAGACAGAAACGCCCATGAACGGTTTGACTTTGGCTGGGGTTACGCGGTTTACTACACTAGCTCAAGTACTGAGTTCAGAGGTCACTGCAGTTATGCCCAGGCTGTCACCAGGCAGCGATCTACTACCTTTATCACTCCACCTTGCGAACCATCACATTGTTCGGCTAACCAAAACGTTCCTGAGGTCGCCGATCATACAAATTTCTTCACTTCGTTTACAATGTAATCGGAAATATCTTCAATTTACTTTCAAGGGGCATCAATTGATACCAATGGAGGGTCCTGCTGTTTGGCATTTGTACGGCCTCGTGGCATTTTACTCAGGTACCCAATCCGATAACAAGCTACCTGCATTGTCGAGACGTGACATTCAAGAACAATATCGACGACTGTGTTCAAGCCCGGCAGGATCCAGTCGTCCTTCATCTCCACAGGCAGTTCATCATCAAGCTGCTCGCGCTATAAGGATGGCTGCTGAATTAGGAGAAATCAGAGGTAACAACGACCTGGTGATTACTTTTTATTGGGACAATTTTCAACACGATAGGTCATGACGTTTGTGCCCCAGGAGGGGTGGGACAAGATTCAGTGCAACGTACCACTGGTGCTGGTCCAACCCACAACTTTTCGTCAGTGGCAAAAGTGGGGAGTTGATTCGTCTTCCCGCACAACTACATTCAGTCTTTCATTGGTGGTTCAACAAGTGGAATGTTTGCTTTGGAGTCTCTATGGTGCCCTTCATACCGACTCAACCCCTGTTCGTTGATGCATCTCTCAAGCTGGGGCGCTCACTTTCTCCATCAAGTGGCCTAGCAGTGGTCATCAGGAGAAAGGGCCCTTCATATCAACGAATTGGAATTCAGCACTGTCATTTTCGCCGTTCGGCATTGGGCAGTTGAACTACAGTCCTCTCATATACTGATTCAATCAGACATTTCGATGGTAGTTTGATACATAAACCATCAGGGGTCGACAGGATCAGAGGTTCTGCTTCAGTGGATGTTTCGAATTTATCATCTGATCGATTCACTCAACACAGTGGCCAGAGCCTGACACATTCCCGGGATGAGCAATGTCATTGCCGATGCCCTGTCACGTCCCAAACACCTGTCACTCACGTAGTGGAAACAACTGCCTCTGATATTCCAGTCGAATATCTACCTGTTATCACGACCAGATGTAGACCTGTTCGCCACTCTGTACAACCATCAGCTTCAGCGTAGATGATCACCAGTTGCGATCGTTGCTGCTTTGTGTACAATCTGAATAAAATTCTGAATTTTATTTTGATTTGTGTCTTCGTTTCTTCTGGGACTTCGATTTCTCCTCTCAATTTAATTTGAGACTCTGGAGGGTCGCCACCTCACTTACTGTCGTCTGCTCTGTGGAGTACTTACATCAGTGAAGTGAGTCATTCCCAAAGTGTTACACTTTGTAGCGTTCTTGCTCCTAAGTACCTATACACATCTATGTGATCTTACTGTGGTAAGTAGTGGAAGTCATAAGATGATGTTGTGGTACTGAACGTTAAAATTGTGAGTTTCCGATTCAATTACCCTTTCACCCTCCTTGGGACGGTGTCTGTGGGGGTTGTTTCGAAGCAGGGGCTGGCCCGATACTAGTCATTAGACTTTTATTACAGGGGTACCTTGGAAATCATGGTAATGCGACTGATTACACTCGCTAAGCTGCGTCCTTTCACTTTCGTGAAGGTAGTGACTGAACACCACATTGCTCGGGAGTCCCGGTCCCTGGGAGCAATTGTGCTTAGTAAGTCATTGGGTTCGAACTAACCATCGCACGTAGTGACCTTGGTAGTTATGGGCCTCCCTTGTCGTTGCTCCCTACGGATGTAGAAGTGTTCAACAATCTCGCTTGCTGACCTCTACTCCATGGAGCAATCACGTCAGTGTAGTGAGTCCTTCCCGATTTCCTTATGGATTTGTAGCGTTCAAGCTCCTAAGTACCTTTAACTTGTGAGTTTTCCGATTCAGTCACCTTTTCCCCTCTTCGTGATGGGGTCTGGGGGGCTGTCTTGAAGCAGGTGCGGGCCCGATTACTAGTCGTAATTACGGGGGTACTCTGATAAATCGTGGCGAGGCAAGGTGACTTGCCTAGTTGCGTTTTCTTGCATATTCAAGGGTTGCTGCTGACCACCACATTGCTCAGGAGCACCCACTCCATGGGAGCGATGGTGCCTAGTAAGCCAAGGGGTTCAGGAGAACCCATCACTAGTATAGGTACTATGCTAGTCGGATCCTGCAGCCGAAAACCACATCGCTCAGGAGCACCCACTCTTGGGAGCGATGATGCCTAGTATGCCAAGAGGTTCAGGAGAACCCATCACTAGTATAGGTACTATGCTAGTCGGATCCTGCGGCCGAACACCACATTGCTCAGGAGCACCCACTCCTTAGGAGCGATGATGCCTAGTAAGCCAAGGGGTTCAGGAGAACCCGTCACTAGTAGAGGTACTATGCTAGTCAGATCCGGCCTCCCTTGTTCATTGCTATCTACGGTTGTCATTAGCCTATACAGTATATACTGTCAGTGCCTTTTGACTTAGGGTAATCTGCGACCCACCGTCCAACCGTGGGATAAGTGCAAATCGTGAGATAGGATAAGTTTAAAAATTTAGAAATTTTAATATAAATTGTATATTTATATACTTATCCTATCTCACGCGATGGATGCTCATCCAGCCTCCCCTCTACTCAGATTACAACAGTTGCGTATAACTGTTATTGGCTCCAAGAAGAGAATGATCACTCTGAGGTAGTCAGGTGGGTAGACAGGGGAACGTGCTGCACGCTTAGCCAGGGACTAGGGACCTGTCCTATAAAGAGAGCAGCCTGGGGAACACGGGCGTATGGACAAGAGAGGCCTACAGGAAAAGTTCTCATTTGTTCCACTCAGCGTCGAAGCAAGAGAGAGAAGTGCAAATCGTGAGATAGGATAAGTATATAAATATACAATTTATATTAAAATTTCAAATTGTTCTTAATTATTATTATTATACATGTTGGAGTGTACTACATGTCTGTATACAGATGAATGACGGACCCCTCTGCCAGTGCAGCATTAAGTCCAGGAAAACCGGCATCAGACACAACATCTTCCCCGGAGAGGAGGTTAGTTACCATAGCAACTCAGCAATCATTTACAAACAAACTGACTGAGTGTTTTCCCTTCTTATTTTCTTTCTTCTTTTCTTCCCTTCTTCCCTTCTTTCTTTCTTTTTTCCAATTCTTTCTTTCTTCTTTTTTCCCTTCTTCCCATCTACCTTTCTGCCATTTCTTTCTTTCTTCTTTTTCCCTTTCTTTCTTTCTTTTCTTCCCTCCTTTGTTTCTTTCTTCTTCCCTTCGTTTCTTTCTTCCCGTCTTCCCTTCCTTCTTTTTCTCTCCCCCTTTCTCCCAGCCTACCAAACAGAATTTTTCTCACAAAAAATCTGAAAAGAAATCTTGAAATATATTTCACTTCATTTATACTCAACAAAAAAAGCTTTATTTTATGAAAACTTTGTTCTTTGTCATGTATATCTGTTTTCCAGTATATTGTGATCTTAAAATATTTCTGACCAGTGGCAAGGCAGCATTGTATTAAGGATGCAGACATGCTAAATGATGTGTTGCCGTTTCAGATGCTGAAGAAATGCGACATGGAGAGCAACAGCCTCAACATGCTGCATCATTACAGGATCACGATGTCTCCCGCTACAAACTTCCTGGTAAGAATGACTTCCTGACTGGGGAGTTTCATCCTTCTAGGGGTGCAGTTGGGTAGCCTAGTGGTTAAAGCTTTCGTTCGTCACACCAGGGACCCAGGTGTGATTTCCCACATGGGTACAATGTGTGAAGCCCATTTCTGGTGTCCCTTGCTGTGATATTGCTGGAATATTGTTGGAATATTGCTGGAATATTGCTGGAATATTGCTAAAAGTGATGTAAAACCATACTCACTCACTCATCTTTCAAGGTTTTACACTTCGAACCAAAACCTTGGAGTCATGTTTTATTATTATGCTAATAATTGTATGGCGCCAATATCCAGCTCGGCTGCTCATAGGCGCTTTGTTTTTCCCTCAATCGCTGGATGTCAATCTCAACGGCACATCGTACTGTCAGTCTCAACTCCCTGGGGAGCAATATTCCAGCAATATCATTGTGGTCAACACCAGAAATGGGCTGCACACATTGTACTCGCGTGGGGAATCAAACCTGGGCCTTCAGCATAACAAACAAGCGCTTGAACCACTAGGGTCGCCACGACGCACGCACTCCCAGCTTACGCTTGATTATGCGACGCGACGCACTCGACGCGCATTGACGCACATTGTGTGGTTGTTATTTAACGCCACACCCAGCACCCTGCTTACGCTGTAATGATTAAATGTCTGAACGAGCATTGATCGCATGCAATGGGAATAAGATGCTTACATTGATTATGAATAAATAAGACATTGTGTGGTTGTTATTTAACGCCACACCCAGAAGACGAATTCTAACCCGGATCTTCCTGGGTAAACAAAAATACAAATACTTGACTAAGGTAATGTTTTAGTTGAATAACAATGTATCAATGACAATGCTAAAACAAGCTAGCTTCATGACTGATGTATTCCAGCACCTAATTCTCTTCATGTTTTGTTCCAGACCAAATGCCTGACTGTGATAGAGTACGACAACCATGAATACATCTTTGAGGGATTCTCGCTGTTTTCGCACCACAAGCTAGAGAATGTGAGCAATACATGCATGGATGGAAATGTATTTGGTTCCCAGTGCAGGGATTTCCTTGAATATGTATATTAGACGACGTTGGTTTTGAAAACACTCAGGTTAACTTTGCTCTTGGGTCGTTTTCATGCACCAGCAAGTCATGTTTTATTATTATGCTAATATTTGTATAGCGCCAATATCCAGCTCAGCTGCTCATAGGCGCTTTGTTTTTCCCATCAATCTCAATGGCACATCGTACTGTCAGTCTCAACTCCCTGGGGAGCAATATTCAAGCAAGATCATTGTGGTTAACACCAGAAATGGGCTTCACACACGTGGGGAATTAAACCTGGGCCATTAGCAAAGCAACACCATTATTTTTCCTTATCCTGACTCATGCTCTTTTTGCTTGTCTTCTTCTTCTTGCGAACATAGTGGAACACTTGTATCTCCCTAATTGAAGCTCCCTTCAATGTAAAATCACTAATTAGTACTCAGCACGAGTTACCTCCCTTCCACAAGCGTGGGAACGAGGGCGCCACCTCCACCCATGTGCCTCACTCTCTCCTTCTTCGCCCAGTGAGCTGGACGTGAGAGCACCTGTGTCTCCCGACACACTATATCCTTTGATTATATTTAGTTAGTTACCTCGTATAGACATCTATAGAGGTTTAGCTAGTATCCTTCAACAATTATATATTGATATTTAGTCGTGTTTCTACTGTTTATTCAATGGACGCCGTGTTTGTTTCAGTGGATTACGTTGATAAAAATTCTGTTCTGTTGCAGATTACGCTTTTTATTCTGCTGCTGATCCGCATTTAATATGCCCTAGTTGTACTGCGCCATGTTCATTTTATTCACGTTGCAGTTGCGGTACTAATTTATCCATTTCTGCCTTTAATAAATAATTGCTTTTTATGCGTTTGAGACGCCGCAGCAGATAGGTCGGCGTATGCAGAGTCTAGCCATGACTGAGACACCTGAACCCTCGCCAGTCTACTGCTGTTGGTCGACCCGGCCTCCGTCTGGTGTTCCGCTAGAGTGGTGGAGAAGTGGGACGTAGTCCGCCGCCTCAAGAAGTGTCCTGCTTCCCCAGACATCCCATCGCCGCAGCCGAAGACTAGAGTTTTCTACTGCATCTCAACGCGACCTTCTGAGGGGAAATCAACGAAAAGTCTACTTGAACTTTCTCAGCGAGATTGTTCCGTCGCAGATTTGGGCCTGTATGATGATCAGCCGATCATCATACCTGATGTACATCAAAAGAATGACCGATCGTCGGCAACAGTGATGTCAGCGCAGATCAACATGCAGCCTGATGTACCAACGCTGATATTCTATGATCTTCCTGAGGGTCCCGCCGCTACCAACACTCAGCGCAGACTTCCGCACCCCCAGGGCAGTCGACCTCTGAGGGGAAATCAACGAAGTCTACTAGGACTTTCTCAACCGAGATTGTTCCAGCCGCTGAACTGGGCGCCTCTACGATGATCAGCTGATCATCATTCCGGATGACGCCACAAGAAGCTTAACCGGAGGCAGCTACAGTGACATCAGCAGAGATCGCCATGCAGCCTGATGTCTCTACACTGGCGCCAGACGACTTCCCTGAGGGTCCCGCCGCTAACATCGCCAGAGAGGGCACCGACTAATCCGATGCATGACCATCCCAGATGAACTGTTGCGGCAAATCATGATCATGATGGAGGGCCACCACAGACTGGGAAGCAGCCAGCCCAAGGCCGAAAGCCTGCCGCTGAAGGTTCCAACGCAGACGACACCCCAGAGGCACCCCATCAGCGTAGCAGCCACGACAGAAACCACCTTTCGCCAGCGGAAGTCGCCAGACCACCTCCACGGAAGGACCCAGATGGCAGCCTCGCGGAAGGCCTTCGCCGGCGTGGATAGATCATCATTCCTCGGCTTCATCCCTAGATGCGGACTCAGACCGCCAGACCTCACGGAAGCCTTCGAAGGTCAAATCGCCGTTCCCCAGGACCGGACGCAGAGGAAGCCAGCGAAGGCGCTTCGCTAAAAGCCAGCGAAGGACACCTGACTACGAGAGCTTCGGCGAAGCTATCAACATTCTCCTCACAGGTCTCGAGAAGGTCAACGCATAGGCGCAGTTCACCAACACGATCTCCAGCGCCCGTTAACCGTGCCGATCTCCTCGCGTACATCACCACGCCGATCGTCTCACAGGTCACCACACAAGTCTGCACACAAGTCTACAGTCAGGTCTCCCCGGCGTCACCCGACATAGAGATAGAAATACACAGTCCACCATCAGAAGAGCATCAACCTCTCATCAGTGATGCTGGGATGAAAAATGATGGAGGCATCATTTTCTCAGACGCTGAGATACGATATTGGATGGTAAACAACCTAGATCTCTCTTCACCTTCAAGAGTGGCAACTCGGCAGACATACCTGATAAAGGAAGGCGAGGCAGACGCCATCACCTTACCTCCAATCGACTTCGATTGCAAGGTGCCACAGTATGTGGACACAGCCTACCATAAAGCCATAACAGTTCAAGCGCCAGAGGTATGTTGTTGGCATTAATAGATCTAGAGCGATCAATGAGATTCTTATCACCAGATTTCGTGACACGACTTCTGAAGATGATAGGATGATCTACTCGGCTCTACTTATGCAGAACCAGCAAGAACCACACCCTGTATGAAGCTAGCGGCTCATATATTGATCGATTTCGACACTTAGCCTAGGAAGTCCCAGGCCACCTCGAAGGAGCTAGAGCCTCACCAGTTCACGGCTCACCAGCGGTGAAAACAATACACTCACTCACTCCTGTTGAACACAGAGGTGGATTTCGTGAGAAGCAAGCTCATATATTATATATATACTGATCGGGCTCTGACTCAATGCTTTCGAAGGTCGCTGAAGGCTAAGTAACTCCAAGTCTACCTCACACAGGAAATCTAGATTGGATACTTCGAGAGCTTCGCGAAATCTCACGGCGCCCACCGAGGAATTCTCCTCCAAGGTCTCCATATATTAGCCACTTTCGTCATATATAGCTACTTTCGTCAGTCCGTTCAAGACATCGCATAAGTTGTCTATCAACTGTATGCCATATGCGATCTATAAGCCTACGCGAAGACAATTGCACAGGCTATTTACAACACAAAGCGTCGCTATATTAATTAATCAACGGCGTTGCATAGATCTTCACAGAAATCAACCTTTCCATTATAGATTGCTAGAATATGCAATCCCGGACTTCTGATCTGAAAGTATCTACATCGCGTGACCATTACGCGAGATCTGCAGACAATTCAATATCGAAATTGAACAGCAGCCTTGTTACAGCGAAAAGTATAACTCATAATCGTCAAAGTTTCTGAGGAAGAATATGTACAACAAGTTCAGCTTTAATTCTACAATTATGGCCCGATACATTCATGTATACAGTCTACAAGCTGACAACTTACCAAGTTTATTGTACCTTTATATAAGAAAGTGAATTATATTCAAAACTGAAGTTACTTTCACGACAGCCAGGAAAATAACCTACCCAGCATTAATATTACAGAAGCGAGGTATTTGGCGCCGAGGTTTCGTAGCGTTTACCTTTAACCCTCGAAAACACGTGGTCACTCGGGTAGCCGGGGAAGCTTACGGTGAAGACCGGCGATTATGCTAATATCAACGGCGGCAACATTTTATACAAGGTTTTCCTGCTACACCGTGACATCACAGCGCGGGTATTCTACAGAATCAAAATGCCTTTGTTCTGATTGGACGCGTTGGACGCGACTCGCGAGAGGTCGATCTTTCTTCACAGGTCAACACTTACGTTACAAGTGACAACTATATTTCAGTGAACGAGCAAGCCTCCTTACAGTCCAGTTAATCTGAACCTTCATGATTGGGCTGCTTTCTTCAGGTTAGAGACCTCCCTGTCAAGTTAGGACGAGGGCACGGCAGTCAGGCAATTTTACATAAACTTCAACGAGGACAGACACACCTGGTTGTGCACCTACATCGTCAAGGACTTCCGAGCTAATAACCTAGACGACGGGATACAAGTGGATCTAAATCCACAGCTGCCTCAGACTACAGCTGAATTTCATAATCAAGCTACTAACACAACTAGATGGTTAGTAAACCTACTTAAACTTTCTGATTGAAGAATTAAAACGGAAGTTTCACCCTCCAACTTGAGGATCTGAATATAGTGCTCCAACACCTCACAAGTGAGGTTTATGAACACGCCTGGATGGCATACTTGGACTTTATGATATGATGATTCTATCACGATGGCCAGCAAGAGCACTGTAAATTTATCTCCACCGAACCAAACAGAAGGGAATAATACAACAGATTATTTCCTTTCTATCATCAACTTACGCAGAATGAAATCTCGCATGATACTATATCTCCGCTTGGATCAGAACTGTCATACTACGTGCATACAAGACGGATGGACCTAACTGACTACCTCCATGAGCTTTTTAATGCTCATGATATTAGAGCTGCTAACTTCTGCATTGATCTACACAATGTTATTTGAAATAATGGAGGGTTTATTTTCTGGAGATCCGATATGGTGGTTGCCAACCATTATCTGAGAGATATCATCACCGAGGACGCCTCAGGTATCCACCAATTCGATCCCATGGTCCCTCGCACTACAGTTGACAGTTCCCTCGGAGAAGATAAGTCAATCTCACAGATTTCTACTTATCTTATAACAGTACTAAATAGCTACATGCTATATATAATTTGCTTAAGTTCTTTTTATCATCACAGTACTATGATTATTACATCATACAATATATAAGTTAACAACTCTACAGAGTTGGTTATTATATATTTACCTTAACTTAATTATATCTTAAGCATAGTACTATACTCAGATTGTAAAATATATAAGCTAACAAACTCTACAGAGTTTGGGCTTTTATATAGGTAGCTTAAGCTTATTCATATCTTAAGCTCAGTACTATGTTTATATCATATAAGTATATTAGCTAACAAACTCTAAAGAGTTT